TAAACATCCCCTCCCCAGCCCCGCAGGTTAAATAGACTGCTTGAGAAAGGGCTTAACTCGCTTGGGAAAAGCCTGAAAGAAACATTTGTGATGAAAACTATTAATAGTCACGTAATTTCAACTGGAGTTTTAAGACCGATTTTCACTTTGCTAATCTCAAGAGAAACTCTTTGCGATTTGTGAATTAAGTTGTCGCTCAATGCATTTACCGCCAATCATTAAACGCTAAATCCGGGGGGAGGTCAGAACTTCCTATAACTGACTAAATTGGGAGGCTAGGCAAGAACAGAGCACCTTTTTCAGGCTAGAGAAATATAAAATTGTCCGTAGTTCGCCGGAGACTTGAAGTATATCAAAGTATAGGGCAAACTATTTCTATACCTAAAGGGCGTTTAAAATATCGCGAATCGAAAAGCTGTGTCCAACGGCGAATTCATCCAACCAATTAAAAGGAATACTTGCTTAAGTGGTCGTTCGATTACTTGCCAAATGTAGGTATCAAAAAGGGTTATCATTTTGCCTGTTTATTTATTATTGTTCGCGAAAGGGTAACCTTTTAAGCTGGACGGGTTTAGAACTCGGAGTACAACTTTATGAATAAACCATTCCCCCCCTCTCTCTCACCATCACCATGCTTCTAAAATAAACTGAAAAAAAGTTGTTATCTTGTATGGGAAAAACNTCCCCCCCCCCCCTCTCTCACCATCACCATGCTTCTAAAATAAACTGAAAAAGAGTTGTTATCTTGTATGGGAAAAACAAGAAGAAAAACATTTGTGATGAAAATTTGATTAGCTAAACATAAAAAGGTAATTTGGAAGTTTACGAAACTCATTCAGCTAACATGATAATGTCCCAAGATAAGATGGCGGCATAACTTACTTATTTAAACTGAAAAGAGTCGGTGTTGTTTGCTCTTCTTGCTTTCGGCAACAATAAATAGCGTTAAGTTTCCAATTCAGAGACAGCAAAACGCTTGCAATTCACACCGTCCTATAACATGGCCTACAACTTCTCCGATTCAAATGAGTTTTCAAACATTACCAACAAGTTTACAAATGGCAGAACACCGAATGACCCACTCCAGGTTAATTATATCATCACCATCATCATTAACATCATCACAAGTCCCGTGACAGTCCTGCTTAACGTGTTGGTGATAATGGCCGTGATAAGAAGACCAAGACTTCAGAGTTACCCCAACATCTTGCTGGCCTGTTTAGCGGCAACTGATGTCTTAACTGGTCTCATCACTCAGCCATCGTTTATCCTGTGCGGAATATTACAGTTGCTTGGTATGAACGAATCTGAAGTAACTCTATGCAGTTTTCATTACTCTGTCTTACGCACCTTATCTCTTTGCTCTTGTCTCCATCTGATGTTAATTACTTGTGACAGACTTATAGCCATCAAATTTACTCTTCGCTATCCTCATCTTGTCACAACGCGCAGCATTAAGGTGGCAGTGATCACAGTTTGGATCGTCTCTCTTTTTCCTGGGGTATTCAGGCCAATAAACAATGGACTATTAGTAACAATTTCCTTCTTTTTAGTAGCTTTTGCTTTTATTTTCTGCATTCTTTTTATTGTAGTTTCTTACGTAATCTTGTATCTTGAAATCCTTCGCCACCGGAAGATGATCAAAACTCAACAGCTACCGCAAGAAGAAGTGGAAAGATTCGATAAGGAGCACAAAGCGCTTAAGACAACTGTGTTTGTGGTTGGTGCAGTTCTACTTTGCTTTGTGCCTGTGGTTTTCATTCTCGTGTTAAGAGGTGCTGGACTGGTTATGTTAGTCTCTGTACCATGGATTCGTACATTTCTCATTGTAAACTCACTCCTTAATCCATTGATTTACTGCTGGCGACAAGAAGAAATGCGAAAGTTCGCATTTAGATTTAAGAGACAAGCCCACGTGCTACCTGCGAACTGAAAACAAACAAAACACTGGGCACTGGATGCTATAGCAGTGTGATTACAGTCATTTCCTCACTGTGAATTAATTAAAATCGTTAATAAATTCGTCGAAATTTTCGCAGTTGCGATGTAACATGAAACATGTACATAAGTAGACCGAAAAATAAGGGAAACTCCGACATTTAAAACTCTGAGAAAAATTGCTTTTAACACAGTTTGAATGAGCCTCTCCCGTGAGAGGTAAATTGAAAACTAATGATAACAATTAAAAGTAGCCAAAGCGTTGTAAAAGCTTTTCACGGGTGTAAAGATTCCGGCCAATTTGAGAAAAGCATCAATTTTGCAACTGTTTTATTAAAATGCTAATGTTTGCGATACTGAATTTATTCACTTTTATTTGTATTCCAGTTTTTAAATACGGGGAATAAAGTGATGTGTCAAAAGTGTACAAAGGTAATTGTAGTTTGCATTTTCTTAAAGCCTAGATTGCGTACATAAATTAAAATTACAGTTGGCATGTTCAAACGATTTCTACGGAAAACGTCGAAAACTTAATAATGTGTTTATCGTAACGGTAATTCACGGAAAGATCGAGCGATTAATTTCGCAATTTGAAAGATACCTTGAAATTACAAACAATACGAATATTCTCTGACTGGAATTGTACCACAAGAGCTTCTCTTGCCGATAAATCGTATCTATAACAAAATATAACGCTAGGGAATCAAACTAAATAAAAATTGCTGAGCAATTTCGATATCTCACGAGATTACATTTACAAACACAGATCACCAACTAATCACACAGTACCGAGTATTATTATCCAGCTGCAGCGAATACTGTCCAAATAACAGTACAAATATACAGCGATATTGTACCGTATCAATGAAAGATGGAGAGTGTGTCAGTTTTGCGTGCGCGCGCCGACCTGTATGGCAAACAGGTTTTCT